GGATGGATGGATGGATGGATGGATGGATGGATGGATGGATGGATGGATGGATGGATGGATGGATGGATGGATGGACGGATGGATGGAAGGATGGATGGATGGATGGATGGATGGAGCAATGGATGGATGGATGCTCTGCTCACCGCGGATCCACCGGCACAGCTCAGCTCCACACTGCCCACAACCCAAATCCCAAAGCGTTTTCCGATTCCATTTCCAGACTCTTCCAACTCGAGTAAATCTTAACATATACAGATAGCCATATACAATTTTTTTTTTGTTGTTTTTAATTAAAAAGCTCCTTCACATACACAGTCATATAATGAATCAGCAAGAACAATAATATATTTCTTGGAGCAGAATAGCAAAAYGTCTGCTCTGCCAGTGCCACCCACAAACTAGACAAAGAACTAAGAAATTTGACAGTTTCAGACCACTTAGGAATGAGAAATTCTCTTGGCCTAAAGACGAGGAGCCATGCAGTGAAGGTGCTATGGAGGATACAGCAAATGYGATGTACAGAAAAACATAAAGTGTTGAAAGTGTTCTCTTGGAAAGATTCTGCAGCCAGAGGGGGAATCCCGATCATCGGGAGTTTTCTTTACAATTTAAGAAATATTGGACAGCATGGAAGCAGAATGATACTGAAAATAAAAAGCTACACAAACACTGAAAGATTGGTTTTGGCCAAAATCTGAGATTTCCTTTAATACATCAAGGGGGGTTCCAAATTTTAAGAGTGCGTCTGATTTACAAAAAGTCATCRCTGCCAACCTCATGGAAGAATAAAACATCTGACTCCATAAGGGACCTCGATGTCTTGGCAACGAAACCCAGAGACACCAAAACTGACAGCCCTTCTTGCCAAGGAAAAAATGCCCAACAAAATAAAACCAAACCAGCTAAGGAAGGAAAAGAGAAGGCAACTCTCTTTAAAGTTCCATTACAAACACCTGGAAGAGAAAAAAAAAATAGCAGGTGGGAGGGGAAGTGGCTTCCAGTAAAAGCTGTGTGGCTTTGGGGCCAGATCAATAAAACTGGCACAACAGGTTTCACACTGGGAATTCTTGCTCTTCCCATAACAGAAGTTACCCCCAAAGCTGGATTTGAAAATTTAAACTCTATCATATCTGCCAGCAAAACTCAGAGCCCCCTGCCCCACTGGCTCCTYCTTCTAAAATTGCAGCTCACGGACAACCCCAGTGCCAGCGTGGGTGCTGGCTCCGGGCTGGGAGCCACCTTCTCATTAATCCATCTGTCCAGGCCAGATTTTCCCTTCCCGAGTGGATTGGGGGAATGAGCTCCACTGACCCAACTGAGCTCCCTGARAGCTGGAGTCAGCCCTGCTGAGCATCACAGCAAAGGCTCAGGGACTGGCATCWCCCCAAGAACCCCCAGCCCTGCACCTCCTGTGCCTCAGGTTGGCAAATTTGGGGTGGAAGAACCTTCAAGTGTTGAACATCTTCCTAAACTCAAACCCTGCAAGGACAAAGATGAAAATATTTTTTTGTTCCTGCTCTTTGTAGGACCTACTTGGTCCTATCAGTGGAACTGGATTTTAGAGGCATCCAGCCCCAGAAATTGGGGTGGAGCCAGAGGAGCCCCCAAGGCTTGCTCCAGGGGGCTACAAAGTCATGTATTGCGTTACTGAAGAGATGGAAAAATGAGAAAAACAGAATTTTAACACAAAAATGGGTACTGCTGCTCCTGGATGTGATGTGCAAAGCGTTCATGGAAAAGCTGATGAGTGTCACCAGCAGAGAGAGCAGAGAGGTGACCACACTCACAGGAGGGGTTTGCCTGGTTGTACACGGCATTCTCAATCATAGTTAAAATTTCTTCCATGAAATACCTTCACAGATTGAACAATAAATATTTAGTATCCCCTRCACAAAAGAAAAATACACATTATTTCAACAGCCAAGAAAAAACTGCAATTTATTAAGTTTCAAAGAATCTTCGTACTCTTGAAAGCAACTTTCGGTGCATGTTCTTTTAACAATCACATTCTATGAGGAGAATAAACATTAAAAGCCACAATTGTTGGTTTTCTTTTTAATCTCAGAGTTACAGACATCTTTAATTCAAAAGGAAAGGCAAAAAAAAAAAAGCCCCCAAAAACCAAAACCCACCCATCCCCCCCAACCCCTCCAACAGAAATTTTCATTCCCAATTTGAAAATATCAGGAGTTTTTCTACAACTCAATGCTAAACTTCAGCATGGAAAATTGTATGTAAACACGCACATACACACATACATATTTTATATAAGTGTGTGTGTGTATATATATATATAAAATATATATGYAGGAGGCGTGTAATGGCAATGAGATGCACTTACTCTGAGGAAAGGTTATTCAGCTAAATACACTACTAAAACTTGAGAAAAAAAAAAACAAAAACAAGTCTTGAACCCAGTTTGTGCATAGTTCATGATCCTCTATAAAACCAGCTTTTGTTAATTTGCAATCTTGCAGGACCCTTTAAATCTGATAAAACCATTAAAAAGCTAATCTTCCAAAAAAAAAAAAATGTAATGCACAAGTTTCCTGATCCAAGCAGGCAGGGAGCACAATGTTCATATAATTTTTAAAACATACTTGAAGTGTATGTTATTCCATTGTCTTTCTTCCTTTCAAAACAATCAAAAACATTGATCTTTTTTTAAACATAAAGCGATTTTTTAATATATAAAGCACTCTTCAAACATCTATTTCTTTTGAGTCCATTATTTGGTAAATATGTAACTGCTACACATTAGATTAGGTATTTTCTTCTTTCTTACTGTCTTTTTTTTTATTTTATTTTGTTTTTTAATAATATCTTCAGTGCTAGGAGTTGGGTTTTAAAAATACATGAAATGGTGTGGAGTTGCTCCTCGGGAAACCCGGCTTTCCTGAGACATCTTCCACCATGTGCAAGATAGTGATCACAAAGTTTTCGCCACTTTGACGAAGAGGAGGAAAACAACAACAAAAATAGTACACAGCAATGGCCAAAGAAAAGGATAATACAACAACACTGTTCAATCCCAGAGCTCTGAAGTAGCATATCTTCATTCTGAAAATAGTTTTCTTTACGATGGAAGTCTTTTTTTTTCTTTTTTTTTTCTTTTTTTTTTTTTTTTTTTTTTTTTTTTTTTTTTTTTTTTTTTTTTTTTTTTAAAGTTTGAAGGAGAAAAAAAGGTCTGTAAACAGGTGGGAGCCAAAACTCCTGGCTCCTCCAAAAGCAGTCAAAACTTATGTCCAAGTGCTTGTTTCTGTTCCTGCTTGCAAGGGAACTATCAACTCTTTACAATTATCTATGGCCACAGTTCAACAAGAGTATTTTTTTTTTTAAACTTTATATTCCGAATGGAAAAATGGTGCAATACTCCGGTAATAATTTTCTTGCATTAGTCCACAATAAAAAGCTGCTAAAGGTAGATATACATATTATTCTCCAGAGATACACACTGTAATTTTTAAAATGCAGTAAGAGTCCTTGAGTAAACATTTACACGTGAATTGTCGCCGGCCCCTTCTATCAGTTTCTTTCCTTTTTTTTTTTTTTTTTTTTTTTTTTTCTTTTTTTTTTTTTTTTTTTTTTTTTTTACCATTACAGGATTAGCTACAAGAAGGGCTGCGGACACTCAGTGCAAAGTTAGAAGCTAATAACAATTAAACATTTGACCAATGAGCAAATAAAAAGCATATACTGAACCAAAGGAAAAAACTTCACACGTTGAGTTAAACCACACGTGGGCACACACACACACACACAGGCACACACACACACACTCACAGCTGTCCCAACAAAAACATAGAGTCTGAACTTTTAAAAAAAAAATTCTTAGAGCCTGTTTCTTGTGTACTGATGCTGACCTGGAAGTGTAATAATTCAAACTTAGAAAGTGTTCACATTTTGTTATTGGCCTGCTGGATTCAAGTATTTGCATGTTGATATGGTTTGTTGCTTTTTTTTTAAATTTTTTTTTTGTTTCTTTGTTGATTTTTTTTAATTCTTTTTTTTACTTTTTATATTTTTTGGGATTAAAAAAATGACATGAAAAAGTAATGAAACAAGGGTAATGTGCATAGGCAGATCCATGGGAGTAGTGGACACAGAGATACCCAACCCTGCCCTCCCTCCCCYCTCTCAACCTGTACAGTTCCAGAGTTGCCACTCGGATTCGTCACTTTTCTGTACCAATGGTAAATATCACACTTCACCCTTTCTGATTATTGGGTCCGCCTCTGTAATGTGCATAATAGTCACAGGCTCATTTAAATAGGCTTTCATTTCCCCTTCCCACCCCCCCAGTTGATAAAATAACCCTTTCCAGCCCAAATTCTGAAAAGTGCCCTTCATGATAGACCTATTCTAAGCAGCTTTTATACTTGGTTTTGAAAAATCACCATACGAACATAAAAAGACGACATAAAACAAAAATAGCCATGAAAAAAATAAAACCTGTCATTAGCATGTGACACTGACCAAAGGAGCCCATACTGTTTCAGGAACAGTTCACAAGGACTTCTGCAGTTTCGGATTCAATATTGGACAGAGGTACTAAGGAGGGCTGCCAGTCTCATGGGTTAAAGCTGGATTCTTCATCAAGCCCGGGGACTGGAAAGGGTTACCATTTTTTTTTTTTTTTTTTTTTTTTTTTTTTTTTTTTTAAAAAAAAAATTATTTTTTTTTTTTTTTTTTTTTTTTTTTTTTTTTTTTTTTTTTTTTTTTTTTTTTTTTTTTTTTAAAAAAAAAAACAACTTTTTTTTTTTTGTTTTCCTTTAGTGCTGATGATTGTTATTTCCATTTTGTTTCTCTCATCTCCTAGATGGACTCGCCGCTGAGCAGATCCCCCGGCAGGAGGGTGTTGAGAGGCGTGGGGCTCCCGATGACTCTGCCGTCGTCGGCGCTGGGGGGACCCCAGAGGCTGCTGGAGTATTGGGGTACCCCTCCCCAGAGCAGGTCGCTGCTGCCCTTGCCCCCCAGGCACGGGGAGTTCCAGTGGCCGGTGTCGGGGCGCACCAGCCCGTGGGAGCTGCCCGAGGAGCCCAGGCGGCTGGGCGTGGATCCAGTGTTGGACTGCCAGCTGGAGGTGGGCGGCAGCGCCTGCCCCTGCGCCAGGAAACGGTTCACTTCTTCCTCACCAGCAAACTCGGCCAGGATGGTAGTGTTTCCCAGGACACACCTGAGGGCAGGAGAATAGGGGGAAGGTGAGGCTTGGGGTGCAAAGGGGGATTTTGGGAATAGCCGAGGTGGGATYCTGTCGGGAAAGGCTGGGGGAGATGGGATTGCTCAGACTGAGCTAACTGCAGCCTTGCAGTGCTGGAAGGAGCCTACGGGAACATGGACAGAGACTATGGACAAGGGCCTGGAGCGCAGGACAAGGAGGAATGTCTTCAAACTGACAGCAGGGTTAGACTGGGGATCAGGAAAATATTCTCCATGTGAGGGTGGTGAGGCCCTGGCACACGCTGCCCAGAGAAGTGTGGATGTCCCATCCCAGGAGTGCCCAAGGCCAGGTTGGATGGGGTTTGGAGCAGCCTGGGACAGCAGAAGGTGTCCCTGTCCATGGCAGGGGTGGGACTGGACGAGGTTTAAGGTCCCTCCCAAGCCAAGCCATTGTGTGATAAGGACCCATCTTCCCCCAAGSTGAAATCGAGCTGAGGATTTCCACCACATCCACTCACTGAGCAATCCCTGTCTCTGACAAAGCCTTCCCTGTTGTTTTCCATCTGCCTTCCTACATCCACAAACACCCAAATCCACGTGTGTGGAGACCACCTCCTCTAACTGACACATCCTGGAGCCTCAATTTTCTTTAGGAATAAGGACAGAAGCTCACCAGCCATGCAATGTTCCCACYACCTCAATACTTCCATTATGCTCACGCTATAACCTGTTGATAAAGGAGACTGCTTTCCAGCTCTAAATACCCTCGTATTCTTCTGAAACATCACTCTCTGTACTCTTCATCTTTACAAATAATACTGATTTTATCATTTAAATTCTCCAGTTCTTATGTCAATTAATCTTATTGAGATTTTCAAATTCCTAAAATGTCCGTTTTGTTGTCATACACTTCTCTCACAACTCCTTTAAAAAGAAGTGATCACCATGAGCACATTCCTTATTTATCATTGTTCTGCCCTTTCKGTTTCTCACTAAAGCTAAAACCTTCTCCTGTGCTTTCCCTGAGCTTCCTTTAGAATCCTTATCACATCTTACAAGTTCTTTGTGGCATTCCAGCTGGCAAGTCCTAACTAAGGATGTTATAAATGGTGAACAAGGTTTTGTAATGTCCTTTATTCAGCAGTACATGAGTACCCAACCCCAGTTAACTTTTCTTTCTCTCATTAGTAATTTTGAAAATCCAGAATAAAGTAACCAGTGACCAGTTAGGCCTATGAAAATAGCTTCTGAGCTAAAATTAGCTTTGTAACAAAAGGAAAAGAGAGCAGAAACGTACATGTGCAGAGACTTCTGGGCCTTGGCTGCCTCCTCCTTGGAACTGTATCGGACCACAGCATTCCCTTGGGTCAGGTTCAAGTGGAATGTTATGAGAGGGCCGTGTTGCAAACACAGTGTCCGCAGTGTGGAACCATCGATCTGCGAGGAGGCAARGGCACCAAGGGTTACTTGTGCTGTTGTGATCTTACCTTAAATGCTTGCTAAACAAACTTTTAAAAGCTGAASAGTAAGCACAAGTGAAAGGCAAAAAGGTACTTAAGGCATTGAGACATCCTGTTTTTTTAAGGCTTCCCTACAGTCCAGTGCACAAATTTTCCCAATTTGTGTTTTAAAAATTGTATTTATTGTTAGAAGCCCATAGAAATAATCCAATGAAATACAGACTTCGTAAATGTCATTGAATTTTCCCCAAGATTAATCTGGATGTCTGCATCCAAGGTTTTGTGGCTTATATTSTGCCTTTGGAATGACACTGTGAAGGACAAGTAGAGGATGTGACAGATGTAAGAGAAGAACCAAAAAAACCCATCAGAAAATCAAATTTTACATCTCTGTATCCGCTCTACAATATCATCCACCTCCAAACTTACACACACAGAAATGGTGCCCACTGAATGACTCATTACAGGCTTAAAAGTTCATATTTGATTTGAGAGCATTTTGAAAACTTAACAAATTCCCTGCAGAAGACAGATACTTGTAATAAATGTAGAGTAAGAATTTTTCTTTCAAATTAATCAAATTGCCAAGGCTGCTGAATGTTCTTATCCTCTCTAAAATGTTGTTTTTATCATCTCTTAAATCCAAGTGTCTCCTCATGCCCAGTTGTGCACAATTCCAGTTACCTGGGGGGTGAGGTTCCGAAGAACCAGCCAGCTGCTTGTTCTCCCTGAGCTGTCAGTACTCCATGCAGAACCTGCAACACAAATTTCACAACAAAACATTTGATCACGGCCTCTGGAAAGCATCTCACAGGCAAATTTACCTGGAATCACAACACACTAACAAGCCTCAGTGCTGCTGAAAACAAATCCTACAGCAGCTTCCTCACACTTTGATTTATTGCCTCCCTTGGAATGAAAGGCTGCTGAATGAAAAGCTGCTCTTGCTACATTTCAAAGATCTGTGGCATTTTTCATGCTCCCACAGTAACTATTAGGAAACTAACGGATGAAGGTATGGCACTGCAACCAACTGGATCCTCAGCATGCATTAGAATTAATCTGGAAGACACATTTTAAAAGCAATTCTTATGTCCAAGCTCAGACTGCTGGTTGCTATTAARGATTTTTATAGCACTGCAGCACTCTGCTCTCTTGGCAATGACAGATTAATGTGTATGACTTATTCAAAACAGGTATTTCTGCACTGACAATGTGCTGATTGAAGATACAAGGGCATAACCAACAAAACCTGCTCTTCCAACCTCAGCCTGGTGTTTTACAGCTTGGTGGTTTACAATAAGAAGCTGTACAAGCTTSATATTTATGAATGACATTTGAGAATCACAGTAGATCCTGTGGGTGCTCCAGAGAGAATCCTGGCAGTGGTTTTATTTGCCCCCCCAGATGGGGGTTTGGTGAAGAAATAGCTCCAAAATAAACGGCAGGAAGAGGGAAAAACATTTAATTCTCAGCATATTGTAAGAAGATTAATAAAAGTCAGCTTTATAAAACAGGTGTAATACCTGCATATATGTCTATATTTATATAGAGATATCTACATATAGATATACATATATGTAGCCAGATCCAYGATTTCTCATATTTGTATTAAAGCAGAACAGAGGCACCTAAAAAAGGGCCTGTGTGAAAAAATTAGGGCTTTCCCTGAGGGCCCTGCAAGGCCACCAGGTCCTAAATGCTTCACATCCATGTGTTCCATACTAAGTTCCACAGATTCCTCCTGAAGCCTTGTGAGCAGTCTTAAATCACACCACATAACAGGATACGTGTTTGAAAGACATTTTTAGACGTTAAGGAAGTGGGGGAAAAATCCTAGTTGGAGGAGTTAAATAAATGGGGCAATTCCTGTGTAAAATTACTAACATGACCATCTGAAAGATGCTTCATTTTCCACTTCATATTTCCAAACTGAAATAAAGAGAAGCCGCCCCCAAACAAACCTGGCTCTACTCATGTTAAAGCTCTGGTTTCTAGAGCCTCACAAGCAAAATAAAAGCAAACAGTGCTGAAAAGAAGGCAGAGAGAAAAGTGTGAGTACCAGAGGAGTAAGAGCTGGTCCAGCCCAGGGGACTGGCACCCCACGTGGAGGATGGCTTGGTGTTGGTTAAGCCTGGAGGAGGTCTCGTCGGAGCTGTAGTGTTTCTGGGTACCTTCCAGAGTTCGTGGGACAGAGAGGCTTGGGTGTGAGAGATTGGGCCAGAGGACCAYGTGGACTTGATGTCTGACAGTTTACCTGCAATAGAAAAACAGCACATTTGTGTGCTCTTCATTAATGGGTATCATGGGCTACATTCTTCCAACTTCTCAGAAGGAAAAGAACAACTTTCTGTCTCATCCAGTGCTATAAATCCTGTGTTCTTTGAACCTACTCACACTAGTGGCTACAATTTCAAATACTTTGAAATATACACTACCTGCTTTGAAAATACACTACCTGCTACATACACAGTTCCCTTTTTAAAATCCATTACTTCTCTTTCTTGTAGAAGATGGTACRTGGAAAAAAGACCAGAAAATGGATGCAGGTATTTGAAATCTAATTTCASCAAAATCATAATGAAACACCCCAAKATTGTCTCTCTCAAAGGTTTAAMAGGACTTACACATTTTTTCTTACACGACTCATTTTATCTGATATAAAGAATCCAGTATATCCATATGTTCTTCTGATGTATTATTAAAATCCTGAAGATCAAAGACCAATAAAAACTTTTTTCTGAATATTTGAAGTAACTGATACTCTTTTTCCTAAGTATCTTTGAGAAAAACGAAGCATCCAGAAGATCAGACCATATCACARCCTGTCAGTCTTTATAACTTTTTGCTGCTGCTTGTTCTTTCCCTGACTGGTTTTTAAACTCTTACTGTTGTTCCTGCCAAACCAGTTTTATTAAATGATACAAAACCAGGAACAGCAAAGTATAGCATTCAGAGGGGCGGACAAAATTGATTTAGATCATGGATAACAAATCTTCATTCACCTTTAGAWTTACACATCCCTGCCTCTCCTACTCACACAAACATGTGCTACGCAATTAGAGCCCAATTTCCTACTGGAAGCACATGCTGGGCTGGAATGGACTGAAAGGGCCACAATTCTGCATCTTCTGCCACAGCAAATGATGCTGTGACTCTGCTGCCTTAATGCTTTAATGCTGATTGCAGAGGGTTAAGAAAATACTTGGTCTGGCAAAGTCTAAAATGCAAAAATCTTCTTAAGTTTTATAAAACTAGAACTGGCAGATTTAAGTTTACACTGGATCRGTGCTTTAAGGCATCAGGCAGCCCTGAGTAATTTTTTAAGGCCTAAAGGCAAATTTACCAGCTTCAAAATCAGACTCAGTTACATACCCACACACTCCCCAAATTGCCTCCATTTATCTAAATTGTTTAACTCAATTATTTCATATTGAATCATAACAATTTAAGTGAAAGGGCAACCACTCTCCCATCTTCTGGCAAACTGTAGCAACAGAAATAATTTGACAATGACAATGAGGACATTAATGAGTGTAAAATGGTGAGAGGAGAGGGAGCAAATCTGAGTTTTTGAGCTCAGAGCAGCCCAGCCTGTGACAGGGCACCCGATGAATGCACAGCACCACAGGTCAGATGTCGCTATGTCACTACTTCTCATGGGGGTAACACAAACATTAGATGATGCTGCAAAAACAAACCAACAAAAAAAGGCAGCAAATAAAGCAGAAATGCATGAYAGATAAAGAAAAGCAAGCCACTCCTTTCTTTCTCTTTCACTGGAGAAAACCATCCCAAACAATCCCTTTTTGGTTTGCATTCTGCAGCTTCAGAGAAGTGCAAGGTTTTCAGGGGATTAACATTTTCTTAYCTAATCCACCCATGCAGCCCAACTCAATTTTATAATAGGACAAACTGGATGTTTAGTTAGTCTGTTGGCAAACAAAGCTCCCATGTTTTACAGAGAGAAGCTCCAGAATTTACAGCTCATTAAAGAGAATGGGGTCATTATTTAGCCCACCTACAAGCTCTGCCATACAGGGGAGCATCAGCCTTTGGCTTGACTATTAAAAACATCGAAGATCCCCAAACCCAACCCCAGAGCCATGCAGAAAGTACCTCCTGGAGCTTTTCCTGAGCTGAAGATGCTTSACTTTTAACAGTGAGTTCATTAACACAAATTTCACGTCAGCYCTTCTGGCAGGTGAGGAAGAGCTCAGCCCTCTGTTCCTGCTGAGGCCCCGGACAGTGTTCCTCCCCCAAAATCTTGATGCCAATATTGAGTGGCACCAAGTGGAATAAACCCATTTTTCCTCAGCACAATTCCAGGCACACCATCCACCACTCCCCACAGCAGAGCTGACAGGAGMGCTACCACCTAGCACAGGGCTACAAACACACTTCTGCCTCGGGGAGCACTCCTGTAAGCACAGGGAGAGCACTCTCTCGGGCCTTTTCCTGGGAATGCAGAAGCTGTGGAAGCAGAAAGGCCGTACCTGCAATGCTAGGTGCAGATGCAATGCTGCTGAAAGAGCTACTGTAGCCGGAGGCACTAAGCGGCCAGGCACTCGATGAAGGCAGCGTGGCATTCTGAGATGATGTTGGGGATGACCCTGCAGAACCAGCAGAGAAGCAACTAAGAAAGATGGGCATAATGATGTCTGGTGTGACATAAGCAAATCTATCATGTGCAATACAAACCATGCAAGGCATTCTCCTGAATCAGCCTGATCTCTGAATTCTAGGAATGAAATGTTACTGTAAGTGTGATAAAGTGAGGCAGAAGTCTTTAGTAGAGAAGAGAAGAAAGCTGGCACAGGAACAGTTGTAGTGCAGAAGGAAAATTCTGCATTCCTTGTATTTAAGATACATAACTCAAAAAAATCAGTTTTAAAGTATTTAGTCTCAAAGGAACAGGCTTCATTTGTAAAGGTCCTCTGCCAGCTGACTTAGGCAATGGCAACTGTAGATGAGCAGAGATGTGTATGGTAAAAYAACCCCTTACCATGGGTGATCTGGCCTAAATTACTCAAGGTAAACACTTCCCCTATATCCTAACGCCCATAARTATCTTTAATTTTTTGCAGACTTTCAGTAAAAGGACGTATTTCAGCAATCTCTTCTGAAACTGATAACATAAATGAAACAGCACAAAACCACCTCAGTAAATCATTTACAATCTGAGGAGCTATCTAAGCATACGTACAATTTCCTCACTGGCAGCAAATGAAAGAAATTGAACATAAAATAAAAAGATCTTAATTTCAAAGAKGAGAAGAGCTGGAAGTATTCTCTGTAGCCACCAACAAAATCAAGTGTGTATCCTGGGTGACCTATCATTCCTGACATACAGAGATGGGCTGTGATACTGAAACATCTTTAACTGACTCATAAAAATAGGTGAGCTCTGTAGAAAARAGCACTGTGTTGAGGTGGAAAGGAGGAAGGAAAAGGACAATTTTATCCCTCACAGTTCAATAAAAACAGGCTTTGTTTTCAACTGGAACAGCACCCAACCAAACTTTACCTTAACCAGATTCCCTGTGCTCCAAGGGACACCAATACAGATCAGTTTCAAGCAAAAGAACCTGTATAAGGCCCTGTATGGAAATAATCTACTCSGAGGCAGAAACTATGGAATTATAGCAGATTCAAAGACTCACGGAGCTGAAACTGGTCCTGACTCCTCGTGGCTACAACTCTCAGCTCATAGAAGCTGACCCTACAAAGCTTCATTAGCAAACAGGGCAARGCAAAAATCGACCCAAAAGCTGAAGTTTTGCCTRTTTTGATGTGCACAGGGCAAGGAGRGCACASCTCACAGCCTGACCCTCTAACTGGGGAGCTGCTCTGTCAGCACAAGCTCTGGGCTCCAGGCTGCAGTGCTCCAAGCCAGGCTCCTGTTGGCAGCATGCCATGAAAGCCCCAGTCTCATATGGAAGGAAATTTAACCTAGGAGCAAACTCCTGGGTCATACAAGCATACAGAAACAGATTCTGCAAATACAGTCTTTATTAGAATTCTATTATTACCAAACTAAAAAGCTACTGAGGAAAGGAAGCACACACTGTCCCCCACAGACACTGAAGTGTGAGCTCTTAAGGGCCTGTTTGCATCTGCAAAGACCATCTCTGCTGACCCTCTCTMAGRAGAGGAATTATTTCCTCCTTCCACAGACAGATTATGAACCAACAGAGCTAATGTTCCTTCTCTAAAGCAGGAAGACCTGTAGGTATCACCTGATTTACAGGGACAGCTCTGTAGGGTTAGGCTTCTGGCCTGAAGGGTATTTCTTGGGTGCACTGYATSTGAACTGTCACTGAATTACATCTTTATGCTTTYCTTTTTATAATTTCAAACCTGCCTGCCCCTTGAAGCACTTTAGGGTCATTAGAAGTTAATTCAACCTTACTCATTACACAAATAATCCATGTTTCARCCTAAAGAAAGGTTGCTCCCTGCTAAGAGACAACTAAAATCACTGCAGGCAATGAACAGTCCTGATTCTTTTCCCTCATGTTTCACATCCCTTGCCTGAGGTAACGAGCCCAGAGCTGGACACCCACTTCAAGGCTGGTCCTGATTTACAATCTGTGCTGGTATCACAGATGTAACTGTTAGAACAAATCCCACGTTTTTAATCCTGACAGCTCCTTCTGGACAGCCTGATTATGCTATTCCCGTGCCTACTGCAGTGCTCTGACTGAGTGCAGATAACTTGGTTATTTTGGCACCCAGATCACAATTAACCAAGCCACCTTTCCCTTGATCCACTTCCAGCACATGCAGCTAACAAGTAGCACAGTCACAATGCTTTATTGTTTTAGAGAATTCCCTTTCTATTCTGAAGTAAGCACTGCCAAGAGAAAACGAATGGAAATAACACCAGGAAATACTAATTTACTAGTCAATTCCTATTTTTTTCTTTTATGTTTTTGGAGATAAAACAGTTCTAATTTACTTYGCTTACTGATYTTCTAACAAAGCTMMAATTAATTAGTTTACCAGAAGCCTRCTGCCTCAGCAACAACTGTGGAACTTTTGTATTGTGTGTTCAGAGCATTTCATRAAGTGTATGGAGGRAAGTGGGCAGTGTGGACAGCAAAAYCTTGYTCAAAACCAAGTGKTAYAGGTTAGAAAAACTTCCAGTACCACAGAAGTTTAAACTACATCTCACAGTCTTTTCCAATATAAAAATATTTACATTCCCATGGAAAACATGAAACTTCTGAATCCCTTATTTAAAAGAATTATTTCTGCATATTCAGTGACAGTTCTGAGCAGAAGCATTATTAGATTAGGAGCACATGCAAAAATAWGCTGTATCTGTAACAAATGAGATCAACTTTTTTGGAAGGGGAAAGAAAGTATGCACAGAGGTGGAAGCAATCAGTGTGTTTACCTCCACTCTTGAGCAGATAGCGATTAACATCCTGTATCGTGGTGTTTATGGTAGGCCCAGTTGGAACACTTCCAGGAGTAACATCGGGGTCATTTTCAGGATCAATATTCTGCAGTCCTTTCCATGGCACTCCTGGGTGAAATTCTGTTTCAAACACAATAGAAAGGGAAGCGTGTGAAGTCATAATTCTCCAAAGCTCCTGTGCATCAGGACGACTCAACAAATCCACCAACAATGCATTTTATGGRATCAGCTTGATGCCTAAATCTGGCTTACCWGAAACAGAGACTAGACAAAATTAGGAGAATCAAATGCAGTTCTATTTGTTGAAGGGCCTTCAGGTACATTTAGGGCAGTCCCAGCCCACCCAGGGGTTACACCCAAAATGGACAATGGCTCWCGGGTCTTTCACGCTTTGTCAGTTTTTTCCATTTGCATATGGTGGGTTAATCCCCCGATTACAACTTCAGGTAATGAAGTCATTTACTCTAAGTTTGCTTCTCTCAATTCTCTTGTTTCMATCTYTTSRGGCCWGGCACAGTGARGTGTCCTTGAGTCTGGGGCCTGGAGAGGAATTGTTTTGTCTAAAAGTGGGAGAACRGTAGCCTAACACTGYACACTAAAGAACCACAGGAATACAAMTACACGAATAATACAAAAGATAAAATCCTAAGGCAGCAAGCTCAGCACAGAGGGCTTGGATTGTGTTACCTGGTGGCCAGTTGATGCTGGAGCCATTGGAAATCTTATCACTATCGGATTTGGCACGTGACCAGCTGTGAGGAACAGCTACAGGTGGGCTGGCAGGTGACTCACTGTTCTGGATCAAATCATAGCGGCTGTAGGAGTCATCGAGGGAGGACTTTCCCGGAGGGCCAATACTCAAACCTCCAGGRATAGCACCTGCAAGGAGTGAAATGAGGATTTTCAGTATGGAATTTCATCAGTATAGATCTTGTTATCATTTTCTTTTTCCTTCTGTTACAAAGATAAAAAGAAAACTAAAATGCAAACACAGTAAACCAGGCTTAACGGCATCTGAASCCTTACCAGGGATTACAGCTGTGAGACACACTGCTGGTACAATCTAGACACTCAAGTTAGAGAATTCTGCATTAAATTCCTGCCAAAAAGAGACTAAGTAATTGAAATCATCACACTGATGGTAAATAGGAACTTGCTGAGACAGCACACTAAGGAACATCCCTCATCTCATCCTTCCCTAGGCATTCAGTGCTGACAGGAGAGATGATTTGAAATGGCTGTTCTCATATTCCTACAAACTATCAAACAACAATTTGGCATCAGCAGTGCAGCTACTTGCAGAATAAAAAGCTGTCGTAGGAGAAGTACATCATACTGCTCATAATAAAATCCAGGATATAATAAAGTTAACAGAGCCCCACATTCTAACAGAATAAACTTGGCACAGGAAATAAAGGAATAACTGGCCCAGCATACTAGAGGAATAGGGATGAAGGTGTTCAAACAGATTAGAAATCACTTCTGGAAAAATAAGAAGTYTGTGCCCCTAACTCCAGGCTGGGTTACTATGTAACCATCATACCTTTGTACASTGATGATACCGGAAAAATTGTAGAGAAAGTTAGTGTTAAGTTTTTTTTTGGATTGAACACATGCAGGTTGGAATAAAGGGAAGGTTGTGGGACTTGTTTTGCCAACACTAAAGGCTTGTTTTACTTGAACTCCAGGTTCTCAGCAACAGAATTCAACAAATGAAAAATCATTCCCACATTACATGCAGGAAGCGACAGCTGCAAGCTCTTCACTGCAGAAATCATCTCCAAAATCTCATGGGCTCAGAGGCGCTTGCTACCAACCAATTTGTGAGCATTTACACAAAAAAGGAACTTGAGGGAGATAATTCCAATTGCACTGTGGTTGGAATGACAAAAACCCAGGCTGGCAGGAGGTGCCAGGGGACATTACCGTGCTTGCTGGAGTTCTGGTCAAGCGAAGAAGCAGCACTAGACAGATTATCCATTGAGTTGGGGTGTGTCCACTGAGGAAGGCGAGACTGGGACTGAGAAGTGTCCTTCACTGACAAACCACCAGTAATGTCCATGTTATTTACATTCATGTTCGGGTTCAGTCCAGCTGGGGGGAAAGAGAACATTAGATATCCCTAATATACTGAGGGGTTGAAAAGCCGGGTTTGAAAATCCAGCTGCAGGAATTACTGACCACTGAATTTCAGGTATCTGTATGCATGTGTGTCATTTGCAATGCACATTTTCAAGAACTTCTGCTTTTATGGAACATCAACAGAGCTCCCATGAATTCAGAAAGTGTTAAAACCTTGCTAAAAAGAGGGGGGGAAATGCAGGGATAATATTTTAAAGCTGTCAGTGTTTCTACTTGCAGTCTTTTCAGTTGTCTCAGGAGAGGCATTCTGGAAGAATGCACTGGCATGTTGTGTTTAAACCAGTTTGCAGCATTCCATGGCTAAACCAAAATATTCCTAATGCCACCCCAGCACCCCCTCTATGATGTCTGCCACTTCATTTTGCTAATAACGTTTTTAAAATCCCCAAAAAAGCAACTAAAGGTCAGAGAAACAGCTGCTGTTCATTGGAGCAGGTACTGCACTAGCTGGGCTTCTRTTTTGTATACACTGAACAAAATTGCTCAGTGTTATTTAGGGAATAAATTTGACAAGCTTCTGTGACATGAATCTGGGTCTTTTTTGATATATAATCCTGAATGTTAGCAGATCACAGAAAGCTGAGATATCATAAGAACCTCTCAGACTTAGGCCTTTAATTCTCAAATTCTTTTGCCTTCTGATGCTCCCTGCCACAACAGCTCACCACAGCAGTCAGAATTACCTTCTTAACTGCTGCATGGCAGATAAAGCTTGGCAATACTATTGTACCCAGCATAAAGAGAGTCACAAAGAGATTAAATTAATTCCTTTATGTCATAAAGGAAGTCTGCAGCATACATCAAACAACCACACAGCAAACAGGTCTGAAAGGTAGCTCTGTTCACTCTGTCTCCAGGCCCAATCAATTATTTTGACTTCAATCATATTTGACAGATCTATGTCTAACCTACTACAAAATGCCAGTGAAGGAGATTTCAGGAACTTCCCAGATAATTTATTTCAGTATTCTGCTTTGCTTAAACGAAGTGATCCTTAATGTTTAACTAGAAGTTGTTTGATACAACTCAAGTTTATTACCTCTTGCATTAGAAAATGCAAGAAAATTTCTTTCCAGCTCTCCTTCACATTTTTGAAGACTCTTGCAAGTCTCTTAAATCTACTCTTTAGGCTACAATGAGCAGTGGATTTAATTTTTTCATTAACAGCTGTGCTTTTGAAATGTTTAATCACCCCCACTACAATCTTTCTGCCTGATCCACATAATTCTTGAAATATCTTGACCAAAACTGATGCCTCACGGTGCTGATTACAGCAGAAAACTGACTTTGCACAAGATGATATATTTCCTGTATTTCCCAGATGATATTTTTGTTTATCAATATCACCTGTATGTATTTTATAACATGACACTGTTAATTTATATTTAGTTCATAAATAACAACATATGTAAGTAGTTAATTAGACAAATTTTCTGTTCTGATATTTGTAGGCAGAACACAGGTGAGCAGACACAGCCCACCTGAAGAGCTACCACACAGGCATGATTTTGTTTTGGGCATTTCAATGCCATTTAATAAACACATGTATTTGTTATGCTGTGGAGCACACTATTTAGAAGGTGAATTAAGGAGATGGGCTCCCTGTGTGTTTCCCACATGGAGCTGCTGCAGGGGGACACTCACCAAGAGGGTAAGGAGCAAAGGTGTTCGGTGAAGACTGTTGCTCTTTGGTCTGCAGGTCAGGAAGGCCGGGAGCCTGGGGATGGGGTGAAAAGCTATCCATGGCTGATTTGCCTGCAGAGGGGTGCAAAGATAGATGTGGAGGGGGAGGCTGCTGCTTCATAAGCAGGGCCTGGGCCAGCTGGCGCTGGTGCTGCTGGATCTGCTGCTGCATGTTATTGATTGTACGTGCAACCTGCACAGAGAGAGARAGAGAGAGAGTCAGCAAACRACTGGTCAGYTGTCAGTTCACAAAACCATACTGCATTTGCCTTCTCTACAGTGAAAGAGGGTGCATTAAGGGGTGGAGAGGTTTCCTTCGTCACCCAGCATCCTCCCTGCCCAGCACTCCAGCCATGCACCACATTCCCAATTTGAGGATGCTTTAGCTGCTTTGGTGTAATGTCACCAGCCTCCCTAAGCTACTGAAACCAAACCCCAAGGCAGAGATTGAGCTGGCAGGGACACCTACTTGCTGCTCCTGTTGTCTCATGGGTCCGGAAACGTTACGCTGAGCCTGTAACATCTGCTGCTGGATTTGTAAACGTTGGTACGCCTGCGGGGACAGGGACAGGGACAGGTCAGAGCACAGCACACACTGCTCTGCTGCATCACAACACAGAAAACACCAACTCTGGAATGTTCTGAAAACACTCCATGAAACACCAGCAATAATCCTGTCACAAAAGTATTTTAGAATGCATTTATTTAAGTCCCGTGTTCAATTTTCTGGGTTTTTTGAAACCAAACACATGAGCAAAAAACAAAAACCTAGGAAGTTCACACAGCAAAAAGTGGTCATTAAGGATAGGAACCCCCTTTTTTTCTGAAAAAAACGTAACAATGCAAAAATTAAAACAGAAGTTTATAATATTATAGAAATAGGATAAAGAACAATTGTCATTTTTGWTTTGGCCATTTTGAGTTCTGACAATGCTTTGTAGTTAGATCACTTTTGCTGTTTCATTCCTGAAAAAAATCCACCATTTTCAAGGGGTTGGCTTGGCAGCAAATTTTTTTTACGAGGTAAAAATGTGTTCTCTGGAACACATGAATTCAAAATCCAAAGTAATTTTGCACAGGTATTTTTCAAGTAGCTGTGTACTGTTCAATTATGAGAATAATTCTGTGTTTCTCAAAACTAGAGAAAATAACCAGAAATTAATAGCATCAAACACTGTTACTAGTAAAGAATTTAACTAGCATATTGACACCAACAACTAAACTAGTTTGTCATCTATAATTTTATGTTTAACCCAGGCCAATACTGAGTTTACAGTACTTATTTATAAAATATTTTTTAAATCCAATTAAATATTTTCCTATGCGTGAAAAATGCAGAAAAAAAATTGCAAACACAGCTAAAGTACACAAAAGCAGGTAGCTSTTATTGCWTGATGTGMTTAATACACACTCCRTTAATTAAAGCGAATTTACCCTACMTTTWATTTTTTAGTGAKGCAAAAGAAGGAAGCTCTGTAGGTAACTCAGGTGACCAGCACTGCCAAGATTTCTCTTTTTGTGTTGTGAACACTTGTGTGCAGTTTAATCAGTTCTTTCTATTGACATGTAACACACAGGTCAGTGCTGTTTGAGCACACACTATGCTATTCACACCARCAGGAAGACAACTGACTTTTAGTTCCACTGATCAGCTGTAAAGGATAATTAATCCACAAATGATAATTTATAAAGCCCAAGGCAAAAAATATCATTTTGTTTCTTTAAAAAGAAACTTTACCAAAGAAATCAGCAGCTGATTGTTCTGAAGATATGTCATGTCATTTAAAAATTTAGTCAGTCATTTTCCTATTTTATCTTCATGCCTCCAATTCTGATTTAGAGCTCATTTGCCACATCTTTTAACTTACCAGCTGCAGCTGATAGAGCTGGTTCAACATCGTCATATGCTGAGGATTATTAATTGGCGAGGTTAACTGTGCAGGGCTGAGACCAATGTTTTTTGCTGCAAACTGCAAAAGCTGTGCTTGAACCTAAAAAAGAGTATTAAATATTGTATGTTTACTTTTACACTGACAACTGTGCGAGCCATTAATAAGAGTCACAAGACATCAGCWGGAAAAAGTTACTATTATTGGAAGTAATACCGTGAAGTATAAAAAAATTAGCAGGAGGCTCTAACAAAAATCTTAATAATTGTACTTAGGTGTTCATTTATAGAAAAAGAGATGAGAACAAGCTCGTCAGAAACACCACTGCTTGCAAAGAAGAACATGGGAATGTGCTCTCAGAGGTGATTACAGGATACACATGTGAGAACACCTCATCCATGCCACATTTTCCTGCCTAAGAAATAAATCAATAAATAACATGGACACAGCCAGGCAACAGGGGCTGCAAAGCCTCAGGAGCAYGACAGAGTGCATGGGAAGAGCTCCAGGGAAAGGGAAAACGTATGAGTGAGGTGTTGTCTGACCTGAGGGGATAGAAACTGAGGCACTTGAGCACGAAGACTAGGCTGGGATGAATTAAGAGGTTGCACTGGCGGTTGCTGCGGCTGTTGCATGGTCCTGGCTTGTGCTGCTCCGCTATTGCCAAACATACCCAGATTGCCACTCGGTATCTGCAGCAGGACAACAGCGACACTGGCACTTAGTGACATCACTCAGCAATAACCTGCATGTTAGCTGTCTGTGCAGACTTTATTCTCAGTGATTATGACAGCAYGAATCAAGAAACCAGCACATACAGATTGTATTGAAAACCAGGTTTAGAATCGGGCAGGGCAAAGATTGCTGTGCCCAGCATCCTAAACCTCCAAAACTTTGTAGAGATGCCTGATCAAAAGTTGAAGATCWCTTTCATAAGGATGCAGAACCCTGSAGGGTCACAAGAGGAACAATGAAATGTACTTGCTAAAAATGTTTGTATTTGTGCAGCAAGGGACAGGAGAATGGAGGCATTAAACTCACAGCAACCCCATCCTCAAGCTGGCTAAGCAGTTTCTTTTTTACTCAGTCATTTTACAAAGCTACTGATAATGGACATGCTATTAGTGGAGACTGCTTTGGAAAGATGTGCTTAATGGGCTGTAAGTGCTGGACAAGTATTGCCTTAAGAAAACTAACTTGAAAAGAATACACATAATAAAGAGTCACCGAAGAATGATGAAGTTTATCGGTGCTGTTATTTCGTATCTTTGCTTGAACTTCTCTTGGATGGCAAAAATAACCTTTCCACAATCAACAGTATTTTATGGCTTCTCCCACTCATGGTGGTTATCAGTTTCCTCCCCTCTTTCCTCTCCTTTCCTTTTCTTTACCTCTCAGCCTGTTCTACTCAGGGGCCAAAACACCCCCCTTAACTSGATACTTTACCTGACCCAGGTGTTGGAAGCCCAGTTTCTTCCTTGCCACCTGTCAAAACTATGAGCTGCCTTGACACTTGGAGCAGGCATAAAAAAGGCCTCATCACTTCTCCCCCATCTCATCATTGAATGATTATACCAGCCAGGAAAGATGAATTAGAGCACTGTGTCTGCCTCAGAGCCTGTGACAATTAAYAATGCCTCAAAAAAAGAGATTTCCCATCAATGAAGGCAGAGCCACACCASKGTTCAGGTGTATAAATCCACAATACTCTTCTTGATGAGTATGTGTCATTAGCAGGCTAATTACAACTAAGCAGTTGTTTTGTGTCCTGCAAGGTGGAATGTTTACACTGCAGGTAGTTCCTGTGCTGGTATTTCACATGAACAAAGCCGTTGCACTTCCAGGTTAAACSCGTTTTCCCTGGGGAAGTGGCTGATGTGTACTAGCAGCTACTCCAGAGCTGGAATTCCCTTTGGGATCTCCCCCAACAGCCTTACCTGTCTAGAAGAATTCAAGTTTTGCATGCCCAGCCCTGAGGCAATCCCGCCCAGGGTCTGATTAGGGAGTGCACTGTTTGAAAGGGGGAGCTTCAGGCTTGGTGAAGGCAAAAATGGTGAAGTAGTGGGCTCTTCCACTAGGCCGCCATCCTGATTGGAGAAAGAAAGGGTGAGCTGTGTGCGGTGCCAGGAGCCCACAGTGCACAAAACAGTGTCCCATGGAGACAGAAAAGGGCATGGATGAATAAAAAGATATATAAAAAAAGGTATGAATAACAGGGAATGAAAAAGTATGGAGTGAAGGGAGAAGAAAAAGAGAAACAGGATTAAGGTACTGTTTGTCTTTGCTTTGTTGTACTTAATCCCCAAAAGCAAAATCACCCTCATCCACCTTTCCAGAGGAAAGGAGGTAWTTTAGCAGCTGATTGCAGAGCTATCATGTGGCTATTGCCTCTCTCCACTTAGGTTTTCTCCTTTCTTCTCCACCAGACTGAAAGGCGGAAAGGGGAGAGGCCCAGCACATTTCAGGGAAGCCCTCWGTCTGTCTGGAAAACTCCAGCAGCAGAGCACAGACATCAAACAGMGCTTTAGCAAACCCAAAACTTGGGAAAGGCCAAATCAGCTAATTTGACACCAGTCTGGATTCGGTTCCACATCATAGCTCTGCTCTGAAAAAAGCATTTTTGCATTAATCCCCTTTCTTAACTGAGACACACGAGCCTCTTTTAATATTCACACAGCGCTGAGTTATTAATACCCACTCTGAAACATGACACTGCGAGGCACCCACTGAACACAAACCACCAAACCCAGTAATGACAATATCGGCTGGGCAGCCTTGCTGAACATCCCCAGGAGGAGGCAGATTTTAGCAAGGCAGGAGAAGCCCCCTCTGCTAACTGGGCTGTGAGAAACCATGGAGCCAGTGCACAGGAGGCAGCCCCCAYGGGGGGCAAACAGCAAGGCAGAAAATAAAATAAATGAGAAAACCCCCAATCAAACAGGTAGATCTCTGCTCGTGTTTCAGTGGGGCACCGAGTTCTATCTCAAACTGTGCTTTGATGTCTGGGAAGCCTGCGGCAGGCATGATCAAATAACACTGTGTACAAAGTAGGGCTCCAAAAAAACAGGCAGAGAGAAAACGCTTTCATTTGCAATGTGCTGGGCTGGTGTTTTTCAGGCAGCGTGTTCATTGCAAGGAAAGGCTTTTTAAAGAGGTGAGGAGCTAGGTTATTTCAGCCAATAAATTCAATGCCCCAGAAGATTGTGAGATACTGGTGAAGCTTCTTTGTTCAAAAAGCAGCCCGGTCTGCTTAGCACATACCCAAACAGATGACCTAATGCAGCAAGCATGCTCACTGAATTTTACGTTTTAACCTAATCCTGAAAAATGCATTTTCTACAGCTCTCCTTTGATGCAAAGGAAAAGTTTCTTTACTATCAGGCAAAGTGACACTTGACATGCTATCTGACTATCCTGAGGGGGACACTGACATTTTCTAATGATATCCCCAAGGCCTTTCAGCTCGAGATATTTTACATTCTACTGGACATCAGTCACACTCCACAAACAACTGCAGCTTGCATGACAGTAACAGGTTCAAGGATTTCTCTTTAGATCACAGACATATGTTTACAATTCTACCCTTCCCCCTTCAAAGTGAAAATCATTTCAGKGCTTGCTCTCCCCTTCAGATGCCATTGTTTCCTATGTGAACAGATCTACTGACCATGAAAGACCTACCCTGCCCCCCAAATTTATTCAAGTCTTGTCTTACTGACATTATTTTCTCTCAATTTGGAAATAGGCAGTGCCAGAGATGGTGGAGGACAAGCCACACTGGGGATTCAGACATTTCATCTGCAGACTCCCTCACAAGTGTGTCCCTTGGCTGAACTGCAGCAAATGGCTTTTRTGCAGGTTTATAATATTTTGTTCATATTCACTTGGTTCCATTTTACTTAATTTGTACTTGTTGCACTGTGCTGCACAAATCTATGCTCTATAACTGAATTAAAATCAATTCATTTAACATGAAGGGTTTTAGCTGGTCAAATTAAAGCACCCATCAGCCATTCTCAAGCCAGACGAGAGGCCACTTACTGCTCACAGTGGTTTCTGACCCATTATTTCTCAGGATCCTTTATGTAATAATTGTTTCCTGAAGAAACAATCTTTTCTACCTAACCTTTCCTTTTCTGTGATTTTCTTACAAATTTATGTTACACTTCTTCCCCRGGCTACTCAATTAAAAACTGAATCATCACATTATGCTCAATTCAGCACTGCTTTTAACTTTTTTGAAAGGACTTGACACACCCATAAAATTCTATTGGTAGCAGTATTTTTCACTACAGTTACCAAACACATGGTGGTTTTTAGGACTTTGGGAAGTCTCTCACAAGAGTCTGCAGTACCAAATGACAGAATGCAAGCGGAATTACTCAAAGGTTTTTTGCCCTGTGAGACATGGACAATTTAGCAGAGGATGCCTGAACACTTTGGCAGTCACCTACCAACAACTGYCACTTAATGAATCAAAATGTCCCAACAGGCAGAGGGGAGGCTGCTGAATCTGCCAGAGGTCTTTAGACAATGTCAGTTACAGAAGTAGCTGGCAGAAAATACACACTAACTTCTTTAAAAAAGATTGAAAAAAAAATCCTTTTCTAAAAGAGGAAATTAAAGTAATAAAATTTCATCTAAAAATAAGCTCTGTTCAAATCAAACAGGAGTTAGGTATAGGCAAGAGAAACATAGAGGAAATACTCAAAGTACTCCTCATACAAGGGAAGGTGAGAGTGGTGTCAGTCACTGATCACAGGAAGCAGAAATGGAGGAAAGAGGAATTTAAGAGTTAAATTTAAGATCCTACTGATCATTATCTAATTGTGAGATCTACAGAAGAGTTTCTCCATGATAATAAAATATCCTATGTTTTGTCCCACAGACAAAAACCAATCACAATCACCAGAGATTATGGGCTCAGAATGTGAGGGATGAGGTTGAAAAAAACCCAACAAACACTATGTTCAAATCAGAAAGAAGAAAAAAGTCTAATCAGAAGATTTTTGGAAGAAAAGGACTGCATCAAGGCTTGTAGACCTGGATTTTGCAGTAGCAGAGAACAGGAGCTGATCACTGAATAGGAGGGTAGGGAAAAGGAAACTTCATTTGCAAGGTGAGGATTTCAGAATCTCAAKCCAAACTCTACTTGGAAAAAAGATCCCTTCTGTGGGCTTATTTCTGGTATTTAAAGGATGCTCCCAGGAAAACCTGACATGTTTTTTCTTACAAATCTGATGGCTCCAGAAGACACCAGGTAACATCTTCAGGCAAACATGACACCTAAGCACAGCATGCCAGCCACCAAGTGTAAGATAATGTGGYTGAGATCACGTATCAGGGCTGGATCTTTATTCCCTCAAGGCCACTGGATTTTGTCCCCTCTCCTTTTATGGTGCTACAGGTCAAGATAACATCCTGAGAAATAATAAATTAACAAAGACTGRGTGCCAAAGATTGACTTAGTGTGACACAGAATAAAGAGCACYTGCAGCAAGCAGAGAAAGCAAACACTCAAAGGTGATGTTGAGCTGCACAGACCACTCCTCATCAAGAGAGAACAGGGAGTTCAGTGGGTCCACAAGCAAATGTCAGGTTTCAAAATTCTTCCTCCTCAAATGTATAAAGTTTTAAAAAAAACAGAAAATACTGGCCTTAGCTGTTTAGGGATAAATGATGGAGTCTCAATGCAGGTGAGCTGAGACAATCGGCGATAGCGATGAGCGCACCAACCCAAACTACAATTTCATGAAGAGGAACCTTGCAGAACTTACTGAATACTCAGCAAAGCCAACAGAAGGATGGTAACTTGATAAGACAATAATTAAAACAARGAATGTTGGCTGGAGTGCTCTGTCCAGCTGTGTGCAGAGCTTGTTCCTCACCAAGGATGATCCTGAGTAGGAAATGAGACAGCTCCAGACTCMTGCCCTGAAAAAGAACCTCAAAGGGCAAAAAGGTTTTGGAGAAGAGGAGTTGCTCTACTAACATGAGCTGTAAATCTGGAAAGAATTTCTATGGGGGAAAAAAAAAATCTGTTCTTAAAGTAGAAACTATATTTATTTAATTCACTTAGCAAGTTGCTCAACACTGTGATAGCTAACAAATACAGTGTGGGATTATTTCCTTTGTTAGAGCAAAGTCACTGTGACAGATTGTGCCTAGACTGATAGATTTTACTTGCTGTATGAATATTAATGATTTTAGTACTCCCTTCTCAATAGTTGTGTTTAACATATGTTTCCAGAATCACGCATTATGCTGCACATAATGCACCTCTCTCTCTGGCAAGAATTTTCTGATGAAGATATTGTTATCCAAGGAAAGGAAAGGTTAACTGCCATGCATGCATCTTCTGTGGCCTTCAATTAACATGTTCATTAAAGTCTGCCATAGCTAAAAAGGAACTTTATATGGGTGGATATCATGACTGCCTCACACCCTGTACACAGCTCATGTGAAATGAATTGGTTTCAGCACAGTTTGTGAAAAGCACTGCTTTCTGTGTTTGGAACCCTCCATCAGCCATCTGTATGAACCTTTAATTAATCTGAGATTCTTSTTTCCTTATCAGTAATTTTTAGGGGGATTCTTAGGTGATTTGGTGGGTCTCTTTCTGTCAGGTTGTAAATCTCATTTCCTACTGAAGAACTGGCTGCACTTTTCCATATATCCTTTGCTTTAGTCACTTTGAATCCTGGACACCACAAACTTCTGGAGCCTTTCCSTCACTCATTAAATGGGGCTGGGAAATTTGTCATATGTGATCACAGAAAGGGAAGTTCATTGGAGAAGCTATTTATGACTGTGCATGTCTGCTGAGACTTAACATAAATACCTTATTCCTTATTCCTATTTAGGTACTGAACTTTCACTGATATCTATAAGAAGCTCAAAACTTGAAGAAGAGAAATTAGGAGATTCTGGCAGATTTTGGCCTTGGTGCTGCCTGACTGTGAATTTGGACAAGGGTCACTGACTGGACGCTCACAAGAGTAGAAAGATTTCTGTGCTTCCCTTTTATACTCTTTTTTTCCACTTCTAGTTCTGTTGTGCTACAGATTCCCTAGCAAATTTTCAAGGGTAAAATGGGATGACCATTCTTTACTTCTATGTGAGAATCCAATCACTGATCCTTTCCACAAAGACTGAATTCCCCATAAGACTGAAAAACAGACAAGAAAAGGAACAAAGCCGTATCTATCACATTTCTTTCTATGCTTTCTAAACAGTGGAAATCATCAGTATTTCTACTCTGTGCACACTCTGACTTGTGCACCACGTTCCTATTTSTGGACTTACCTTGTCAAGGAAGGTGGGGCGGTCCATGGAAGACTCTTTGGAGATTGGTGGTGGGCGGCAGCCAAGGGGTTTGGTGACCATTCCATTATAGTCGGTCACTCCCATTCCACGCTTGTCCATTTCCACCTTCTTTTCCAGCAGAGCACCTGCACAGAAAGAGGAAATGTATTGGAAAAGGTGAGGCAGGGAGAGCAAAGCTGCCAAGAGTAGYTCAGAGAAATACATCCTGCTTACAAAAGCAAAGCAAGAAAATAAATATTATCCAATTGGTCTGGACATAATCAACTGCTCAGAACACAGGGTTCCTGTGTTGCTTTAAAGACAAAAAAATTACTTACACAGATACTTACTCATGGCCTGATCAAGATTCATACTGTTGCTCTTCAAGGCCTCTTCTGCTGGCTCTCTCTGCCAAAAACAAGAATTATGTTAAGAGGAAAAGTAATCACGTTCAKATGATTTCAAAGTAACCTGAGAAAACAGACACATCTCTTAAATACTGCGTTTAATATTTACTCAGCAGYTTAAATAAGGTCTGCGTGTGTTTTTTCCCGTTTTCAGCAATTTCCATAATTCAGGTATTGCATTTCAGTTTGTCAAGGAAGTACCAGCTCTACAAGGTGAAACATGCTGTTCTGCTTAAATGTCTTCCTGTTTTCCATGAACAACTCAAATATCACAATGATATGATTTTCTCTAAAAAACAACCCAGCTATACTCTCATTTCACCCATCTAATAAAAATAAAGAGGGACAGGAGGGAATTATTACTGCAGTTCAAAGTAACACCTGGTGTTATAAAACTATGAACTTCAAAATATTACAAATGTCCTCATGGAAAGTATAAGCTCAGTTGATTTCAGAGTGCTCTACAGGTTTACAGCAGATTTCTGAAACTACACTATGTGTTTAAATGCAGATCAGAGCTGCAGCCAGGAGCCTTCCCAGCCTGCAGACTGCAGATCTTGGCATAGCTACAGTCTGAAACAGCCACAGTCAGAACCACAAGCTAAAAGCTAAGGCACAGTGTGCTGGCTGAGCACTACTCACAGGGAAGCCCATGTCTGTGAGCTGTTTAATCAGACGGTTCATGATCCAGGCCTCATCCTGCTTGCTAGATGTCTTCATGCCCTTAGTAAATAAATGGGAGATTCCATTAATGGGCTGGTTTCCACATTCATTTGAATGAGATGTACATAAAAGAAATGGTAAGTGGTTTTTATTAATAACACATGCTACTGAAAGATGTATTAGTACATTAATTCAGAAAGTATTGAAGAACCCTCCGAGCAACGCGACTACGATTCTCTTCCCCCAAAAGTGTAAAATTTTATCTCAGCTGAATAGGTGTTCAGTGTACTATTTAGTATTTGATTTGCTGGCCACTGAATTAAAGCCACCTTTGAATTTATGTATTTCATTTTAATCCTTGGCAGAAAAATATAATGAAATAAAGCTGAAATAGTACAACACTTCCTGAAAAACATTCCCAAAAACAAGTTTGCAACCTTGAAGTTAAGAATGTTACTCAGTGTATTTTCTTAAAAACAAACAAGAGCGTCTAGATAAACACCTTTAAAAGATCTCTGTGCAGCTTTTCTATCACAAAATCCTTAAGAAGTCTCTTCCTTTCAGTTCTCCAGAAAGTACCAAGGGACAAGCGCGGATTTGTTTTGGGCTGCGGACAGTACAAGAAACAACCATACTTGATCAAATCAYCGGCCTAACTGTTGGCTAATGGAATAACAAACAAAGTGGCTAAATGCATTCCCAATTCCTTTAAGTTACAGCCTGGCCTTGTCCTGAAATAAAGGCTGTGCAATGGAAAATCTCTTCACACAATTGTCTATGTTCTTGGTTGAGTGCAGCATTAACACAAGTTSGCTTTGTTCTCACACACACACACACCTCACAAATAGAAAACAGRTATTTTTGTTAAACAACTCCATCAYAAATTATTGTTTGCTTTTCCACCACCATGGGAAGTGCCTGAAAGCCCCCTTAACACCTTTTCTCCTTCTGTTAATACATTATCATTTCTTTAGAATACATGGAAGCTTATAAACTTAAGAGAAAACAAAGGCAAATGCAACAAAACTCCCAAAGCATCTGAAATGCCTAAATTCAAAGATCTCCCATTCCCCCTTGGAAACAAGGTAGACTGCACTTGAACCACTGTAGTGGCAAGCTGTGCTTCTGTTCAGGTGTCAGAGGTCTAATTTCAGGTGTAATGCACCAGCAAATTCATGACAACTTATTCTACCAAYGTTATACTAATTCCACTCTTGCTGGAGAGTGCCTTTATTTTTGTCTTACCTTCTGAAGTCCTTTCTTCGGGGCATTCCCCCAGGAATTACAGGAGGAGCTGCTCTCTTGTGAAGCAGTATTATTCCACATATCTCCTTCTTCATCTTCCCACTGACTAGTACTGAGATTCACTTCATCCCCACCACTGCCCCAGCCTTCTTGCATAGATTTTGAAGCTGGAGGGAAGAAGGGACAAGAAAAATCTTACTCAGTTTCCTGCAAATTTTACAGAAATACCCTTTTGTGCCATATCCAGCRTGCTAACATGAGTATTTTGAAGAGATAAAGAAGTTCATCAAACAGCTTAATTGGCATTACAATGATAAGGATGCCTTCTTTGAAGTCAGCAAAAAAATRAAAAGTTCTCAAATACTTAGAGAAGAAAAAAATCCAGCAAATGCAAGTCTTGCTTTTCCCAGAATAAGGAAGATCTGTGGTCATGGCCACTCCACTCTCCTAGGAACAAGGAACCCAACTACAAGCATGCACTTATTAAGTGCCATTTTGCTTTCAATGCATCTCACCATTTTAGCTRCCACGTTCTTCTGATGAACAAATTCAAACTGTGAAGTCATTAATGCTCAGAAAGTCATTCCCAACTTGGAAGAATGGATTCTGAAAGGAGCTCGTGGGCTGCAGGGAACGCTTTATATTCAGTGACGAGGTTGTGTCGCCTCAGTCCGTTTTGCTCTGTTTACTCCGTTTAAAGCTGGGATTACTCATTTTAAAAGTTCTCCTCCTCCTTTTATGTTTTCTGGCACTTTAAACTATGTCTCACTATGGTATTTTGCAGGAGTGAAACTCTAGGCAACCTCCACAGCAAAAATAGAAGTCCAAAGCAATCACTGTGGGCCTCAGGACATTCAGAGATGAAGGATATTTATCATATAGGAATCACACAGCAGGAAGTAGTTCAGGATGTTCCTGAACYTGTGAAAAGTTTTAATGGCTGAAGAAGACACCCACTCACTCAGTTTAACCCAATATGAGGTTATGATTAGCTGTTCTCAAGTGTTGCTTTTCCCACCAGAATCAATTCTATCTTTACTGTTCTCCACTACTTCTCATGCCAATACAGGTTTCTTTTAGGCACCAAGGGCTAAGTCCTAGTCACATCCTTCTGCAGTTTCACACTTTCCTCCACCTCTGCTATGCTGCTTTCCCAATACACAAAACTGCTCTCCTTTAAATCTACAGACWGATGCACTATAATCAGAGTTTTTAATTAATATGGTATTTGGAATCATATAGTCTTGTGACAGCTAATGAAGTTTAGAGAACRACACTATGAAGGCAGTCTGCGATTGAAATGCACAGATGTGGCAGAAGCAAAGCCCCCTCCTCTCCCCTGGCAGCCCCGTGTGTGTACCTGGTTTGCACAGTGCTGGGGCAGCAGCTGGAGCGTTTGTTCTTCCATAGGTCCCTGCCGGCTCGGCAGGATTCTCTCCCCACCCGGTCCCACTGCTGGGGGGCTTCCCCCACGCCGAAGTGCCATTATCAACTGCAGCAGAAGGGGAGGAGGGCTCTCCCCAGGAAGCTTCGCTCTTGGTGTGGACAGCAGGCATCTCTCCCCAGCCTGCTGGAGCAAGGCAAGGAGAACAGTGATGAGAGGAAAGGTTTTATCAGCCAGTAATTTCAGAAAACTTTAAATTTTATTGAAGTGTTTCTCTGGAAGGAGCGTGAACTAGTAAGTACACAAAGAGATTCTAGTTAAGTGTGTTAAAAAAAAATCCCTTAAATTTAGTCTCAGGAGTTTTTTCTTAATTCAATACTAATRCAAARTTGTCAACACAGAAAGAGGGTTTTKCCTCACAGCTAGAAGCATCCAGGYTGCCAAGTGAGCACTACAGCTGGTCCCAAGGTGCAGCTGCTCCCAACTGCCCAGGGCCAGCATTCCGGACACCAGGACCCCAGTGTAAGCTGGGCCTTACTTCACTGAAAGATTTCTACCCATTTTAACTCCTTTTCACTATTTACAAACTAAAAAATCTCTTTTCTCATGCCCTGGCAGTCAGATGCTGTTTGATTGTCCCACCTTTCAGTGAAGATTATCTGTGYTGAATAGAGCTGTTATTACAGCTCATGGTTACTGTGCTCTCTACCCATCCCTACCACTGACCTTCTACATTATAATAAATATTATTTTAAGGGGAACTAATCAAGATTTCAATTAGGATCCATAATCCAAACCACGGGGAACGGCAGGTAGAGCCATTGTTTTCCTACAGAGTATTACATGAACTCACTGAAAGACGTAAGCGACCGCAAAGAAACAGCCTTAGTCTGGCTTGSCTCGGATGTAATGCGCTTAAATCCATATGACACGATTTTAGCCTGCAGCTGAATGTGGCAGGAACAGCCACAGAGCTCCTGAGCCTAGAGAGCAACATTGACCAACACAGCAAAAGGGTAAATTCAATTTACAACCATGTTACCAGAGGTTTTCTGAGGAGAGGACTTGGATCACAGATGGAGTTCAAGGTACTTTTTAAACATATACAAAAGAAAGGCACAATAAGTGTTAGAAAACAAGGTTCTTATAGATACCTGATACTAACCTATTTTTCTACAACCGTAAAAGAAATTACATCCAATTACATGACAGCTGAGCTCTCAACAAATATTGTAGAATTCAGCCTGCTTAAAACCTCCACTGGTAATTAGGCTTCTAAATCAGGAACTGGTTCTCTTTTCACTGAAGATGAATGTTATTAAGATGAACATTTTGAAAGTGAATGACCAGATGCTACTTTGCCATAGCAGTATTTCCGTTTTCTGCTCTACAATGGTTATCTGTAAAAATACTCTGGAAAGGTTTCAAAAAGCAGGAACAACATTTTYTCCACAAACTGACACCCMGAATAGGCAACAGAAAGGGAGCTGKGTCGGAGAGTACCTTGAAAYAAAYTGGAATAACCAAGCAATAGTTTTTCACTGAGCAACAAGWCCTTGCAGAACTCACTGAATTCCCGTTACCAGAAATTGCAGCAACATCCATTGTCAGTAACAACTCAAACAGTGCTTGGCAGAAAAAAAAATTCGAAGAGATGGGCCCAGAGCCGTCCATCGCTCCAGTCAGTGTTCCTGCATTACGTATTTATTTTAGGTTCTATTCCTTACAGCCAGTGCAGCTCTCTCAGACACTGATCCAAGTGCAGATGGCACAACCCAGAGCCAAACTCTCCACTGGCAGATTCAGGAACTTGCAGCTTCATAAAACTTCTCTACCAGCAAGAGGCACTGAGTTTAAAGGCAAGCTTCTGAAACAATCCAAAATGTCACTTTTTCATTAAAGTGACTTCCATTTGAAACAAAAATACTGTGGGGTTTAGACTCGATCAACGTACCTTACATTTCTGGTTATTTTAAGGTGTGTAAAGAAGATAAACTGGCAGATCCACAGATGTACCTGAATGAACCTGTACTTAACATGACAGCTTCCTCGGTGGTGCACTGAAATACTTATTTCAAGGTTTCTGCTTGTATCTTCAAGCCAACTTTGTTTAAGGGAGGCTTTATTTGAATTTTTGCTCACTACTCAGGAGGCAACTGGCAGGCAACTRCGTGTATTTAATCATATTGGCAGTTGAAAAAGATTAACTGCAGGCAAATGAATCAGAAAACAAAACATCTCCACGGCACCAACCAGACTACAAACAGAGACAGTGCAAGGTAATAACATTTCCCTGACTTCGTGCAACCTAAAATGGAAACTCTACCTAATTCAGTTTATTAAATCATCCTTAAAAGACAATTCATATATTAAAAATCCAAAATGTGCTAYGTTATAGAATAAAAACATCAAAAGAATTGGTTTTTCTGTTGCTCTTCACTATGAATTCAACAATTTCAGTTAAAGGCCACAGATGTGTAATGTCCAAATTATTTTAAGTGCTTTTAAATGCACTGGGCAGGAAATAATATGGGATTACAAACAATGAGGGATCCAGCCTTTACTAAAAGAGAATAATACAAGTACATAAAAGCAAACAAAATAAATCAATGGAAAGTTTTCCAAACTATCTTAACAGACAAAATTGAATATGGAAAATGAGCAAATAAAACCTGAAGGCTGCTGAAGTGTGCACTGCAAAAACTAACCTGTCTGCAAATTCTGGAGCACTTCTAAATTGCAAACCTGCTACTCCTCTGTGCAAATATCTGGTGTTCCAATGCCACTGTCTCTGTCCTACCTTTCTATGACTCCAACTGATTCTGTTAAGCTTAAAGGTAAATAGTTACATTTTTGAATGAATGGTGTGGAACTCTCCAAGGCTCTTGGGAAGACRAAACAAGATCTTTGAGTGGTCTCAAAACCTGAAGATGCCAAACATTTTCCAAAACTCTGCTTGGAGAAAACTTACTATTTTCTTATGAAARTAACACAGATTTAGGTTCTCCTGGTAAAAAGCTCCTTAAAAACCCACCCAGATTTGCAAAAACATTTCGCAACAGAACATGCTCCATTAAAGGCTTCTTTGGCAAGAAAGTGAGGTTTTAGTACTGAAGTTTTAAAATACTGTTAGAATTGCAAGAAATGAAAAGATCAGAGTGAGTAATAAACATGGACACATTGGCAGAGCTTTGTTTTATAGGAATAAAAACATAATTAACATTGGGCCACAGCCAACAGGAAATCCTCAAGGGAAAGTGAAATGTTAACTAAGCTGTGGCAGGATGCAGTTGTTTTCCCTCAAAATAACCCTATAGCCATTTGGATGGCAGAAATTGTTTTCCTTCAAGTTGTTGGTCCGTGATAAATACCAGAGCACATGACTACAATACAGGCTAACCAAAATATGACAACCTTATGTAGATAAAACAAGAAGACATCAGGTAGAAAAGAGATTGTTTACTAATTACATACTAGTTATTCTRCTAATAAAAGGGATAAGCTRTAGGGTGTGTGTGTAYAAAGGGGGGTTTTATGTATACATTTAAGAGCCACCTACAATCCTAAACCTTTCAAATCCTCATTTTCTGAAAGGGATTTCATTTTGTCCCTGAGCATTCAGAAATCTCTAATTGGGGTTTCAGCAGTGAGATCACCCTTCTGTGAAAACTGAGGGCAGCTCTCCCAGCATCAMTTGGCTGCCCCCCAAAACCTGGCTGTTCATGGGCTGAGCACCCACCACAGGGTTTTAGGTTTTCACATCCTAAAGGAGACCAAAGCTGAGCTGCTTTGAAATCCATTCTGATGGAAGTTCCAAGTGAGAAAAACACTATCACGTGCRCTGCCACTTAGTGGCACAGGATTATAAAAGAAACAGAGATRTTTGGAGCTTTCAGAACTTAGGCCCAGTTCAGGTTTTTAAAACTTAAGCTCATTGCTCTCTAGTAACCACAAAGACCTTATTTTGTGACCTACAATCCCCACAGCGAAGCCTATGTTATCTTCTGTTCTTTCTTTTCTCAGCTGGAGGATGGTGGTTGGAAACCTGCCAGGCTCCCCTGACCTAATGAGAACAGGAAAGCATTGAGCCCACCCCTCAGCACTCGGAGGGAGGATCTGGTGCTGTTTGGGATCCAAAAATCTCTTTTAAGCATTTCTGTCTGCAAAATCTTTTCTCMCTTCTTACTCCCCTCGTATCAAAGCTGCATGAGTTACAAGTGCTAGGAAGAATTACACACAAGTAATTTAGACTAAATCCAAACCTAACTCAAACCCACCAGCTTTCTGCCCATCTTTCTATGTAACTCACCACTGCCTTGGGAACAAGCTCCCATAACCAGAAAGGTCTATATCTATCACATTATCTATCCCTTTCCCCCCTCTTTTTTTCCCCTCCTCTTCCAATAGAAAAAGAAACCCCTCAGAGCATTCTTCATTTTCACCAAGTGTGTACCAACATCTGCTTCCCATCAATGGCTTTTAAGTTCTGCCTTCAAAGGATCTGGAGAACTTCTGGGGATGGGTGACAACTCRAATAACAAAACTGTAACTTGGCCTCTATTTCTAAACTAATAAAGCACAATCTTCAACCCCAAAAGGGACTGTTAATCCTTTGTGAAGCCTTAGCTAGTGCTGTGCAGAAAAATTAAAATCCACTTCTTTACTACCAGGACGTATGACTGTGACAACTTCCATCTGCACCAACACTTCCTTACTTACACAGGAGTGGAATCCATGATTCCTTATTCATTACATTCCCTGAATGTGAGAGGCAGASCACATCATGACCCATGCAGATGACAAAATGCCTGTGGTAACTACATAGTTCAAGAGTTGTAGGGTTTCAGACGAGCAYTTAACTGTGCCCTATGGCACAGGCTCCAATGACACAATCCTGCTTTGCATGGAAATGCTCTACATGGAAAAACCTGCTGCTGGATGAACTTTCGTTGTGCATTGCAGAAGTCTTCTGGTTACAGGACGCTAGTCTCCTTTACTGCTGGAAATGCACAGCCAAGGGGACAGGGAACTGGAGTAGGAAAAAGAGTTCAACAGCACAACTGCACACTGCAGGTCCCTGCTGCATGAGAGGGGAGACACTCACTACTTCCTTCCCGTCTTTTGGCTGTCTCAGAAGGGACATGTTTTCGGTCTGTCTACATTTCCACACAGACCACAAGGATATTGCTCTGCAGCTGCCATGTGCTGCATGCACCGGGAAAACTGGGCCTCCTGCACTCTGAACTAAGGGAGGTCACGGGGATCACTTGGAATTGCACTGTTCTCTCTCTGTAAAATAAGCCCAGGAAAGGTCCCTCTCTGGCACAGTCACAGGTAAACACAGGCAGAGCTCAAGRCACAAGGGACTGCTCTTTGCTTCCATTTAGACAAAAATCCTTCAAAATATTTCCATGTTTGGCCTTTATATCTGTACCTCAGTATTAAGTGCATGGMGTAAAAATACACAACAAAAGGCTTAATTTATGCACGCTACAACYTGATCTAAATTTTAATATCAGAACCATATTTTAAAATGTCTTCACTATCACTCATTTCATACTTTCTTGCATGCTGACTGAAGTATATTCTGAAAGTTGAGTTTGCTTATCTTAAAAGAGTCTAAAAAAAAGAGAAAAGATTTGCTTATCTTAAAGATCTCAGAATCTTTCTAATCTACATTTTTCAAGATGCCAAACACTGTCACTTTAACCTGATCGGGGGGCAGCTTGAGCAGGTTGTTACATGTTCATGAGCAGTTTTCTGAGCATATAAACATAGTGTTTCAAAGAAACTCTGCCTTTGCTACCGTCCATTCTCTGGTGGAATCACTGCAGATTAACACCAGCTTTTAAATTCCGTTTTCAAAATCTGAAGGGTTCAGGACTGTAAGTTTTCCTCTACAAGGTGTTAATTATTTGAATTGCATTGACAATGCATTGCTCTGTATGAGCAGTTTTACAAGCATCAATGTAATCCCCYAAAAATCACCTTAATGAGAAACAAAACCTCACCCAAACCCAACCAAAAATACACTTTCATGATACTTCCACTACAATTTAGAAATCTGAATTCTTGCTTCATGGRTAAAGTTTTAAATACRGATGAAATAAGTTAGTCACATATGYTGGSCTGACCAAGTACAAAACCATTTAAATATTTCTCCTTCTGGAGCTCATGTTATTTTATTAAAATAGGTACCCTCTACTGTTAAAATATTTGACCAGACTGAGGAATATAAGACTATTTTTACACAGACATTAAGAGTAAATTTGAAWAATTCCAAAACATCAAAGAGAAAAATGATGGAAATGAGAGAACAAATCCCACCTGGAGAAAAATGTGGTTAAAAAAGCCAGTATTCAGCCATGACCAAGATGAAACAAAAACTTGGAGACAAAACTCAGATGGAGAATTTGAAAGAGTACTGCATGATTAGATTTATTTTGGCGAGGTCTCTGGTCATGATATGGGCTGCAAATGTAACTTTTATTTAAACACCTCTCCTTTGAACATCTTYCATGCATTTTTATTCTTTGCTGCTTGTCTACAACAGCATCTTATATTTTGATTAGAAAAATTTCTAAATACCTAAAAACTTGTCTTTGAAACACAGATGAAGTGAGGATAACCTAATTTMAGGCACCCTGATTATTAATACCTTGAACCAGTCCTGCTTTCTGAGAACCACACAAAATCCAGGACACTGACTGTGCCTGAGCCCTGAGGTACGGAAGAGAACCATTTCTTCTTAGAAGACAACAAAAACTGGACAGAGAAACATCAACAGCCTAAATTCATGCAACTGTTAACAAACAGCTGYTGCCAAGAGATGTTTTGCAGAAAAGAAACAGATGCAGACTGTCTAAACACACCAAGCCTGTGTAGTGGGGACAGCAAATAACTGAGGAAAGGTTTCTCCAAAACAYCCCAAATTAAAAGGTGGAAGAGGTGTTAAAATAAATATGGATCCACAGTCTAAGAATCTACCATGTTTGAAGCCTTCCCTACATTCACCTGGACTACAAAAATTTGTGTCAGGCTCCAAGGGTTCCACTCTCAAGACCAGACTGCTTCACAGTAAAGGAACAAACATATTCTATGACATAAATACAGGATTTCTACCCAACACACTGACAGGACAGATAGCATTCAGCAATTAGTACTGGTAGAAAGTATCTCATAAACCCATTCTATGAWGAATGTCACAAAACTGTTGTCATACCTGGGCCAAGCAGCGGGGACCGGTTCGGCTGGGCACTTGACTGGTGCGATGGCTGAGGTTCAACCATGTTGGTGTTGATAATGGTGCTAGTGGTGGTGGTGTTGGTTGTGGTACTGCTCTGAATTATAGGATTATTTCTATCCCACATGTTTACAGTCTTGTTGTTGTTGTAATTTGGGTCGCCCCAAGCTGAGGTACCATCATCGATTTCCATCTTGCGGCGAATGGACGGTGGAGATGGCTCTTCCCAGCCAGTTGCCTCACAGTTCTCTTTTTGTTTGGCTGGCACTGGCCCACCAACCCACCCTGACCCCGTCTGTTTTACAGAAGCAGCTCCTCCCCAGTTACTCACATTGTTGTCCTGGGGTTTATTAGCCCAATTTTGTTGGGGGCCTGGCTTTAAAGACTCCCCCCAACTTGTACCTGTATTAGCCTTGCTGTTTGTGCCATTTCCCCACCCACTGGTCCCAGACCTCGCGGAATCATTCCAGCTAGACCCTGATCTATTGTCAGAATCCCATCCAGATCCATTCTTCTTCCCATCACCCAAGTGTCCAGGAACAGATGATGAATCTGTCCAGTCTCCACCTCCTGAAGTCCAGCTTGGATTTGATTTCTGTCCATCTCCCCAGTTTTGAGATTTGGGTTTCTGAGGTTCACCCCAGGTAGGTGATTTGTCCTCCTGATTTGCGGTCCCACTCCAAGCGTGGCCGCTTTTGGCAGCAGCAGCATTATTAACAGTAGTAGAGCTTGCTGACTCTCCCCACCCCCCCGGGCCATTTGGTGCTTTGTTGTTGTTGTCTCCCCAACCTGTATTTGTTGGAACAGCTGCCGGTGGAGAGTTGACCCACCCAGATACTGAAGAGGTATTTGTACTGTTCATGATGGACCCATCGTTCTTCCCCCCTGAGTTTGAAGATTGAGTAGCTGCACAACCCCAGGCCTCTGTTCCATTGTCATTCTTCCGTTCAGACCTTGGGGACTCTTCAAATTCCCAGGCAGTGTTTTGCTTTACAGGGGTCTGTCCCCACCCCGTATTGGACAAGACCCTGGGGTCAAGGTCATTTCTTGGCAACTGAACTTGCCCTTGGTCTATCATCCCTTTGTCTCTCCTCCTGCCCTCTCCAGCCCCCTCCCTCCCAGTACTGCCTTCATTTTGACTCCCACCGCTGTCATTGCTTCCTTCACTAGCCGTGGTGCCAGACGCTGCAGCTTTGGCCCAAGAGTTCATTTGTTCATTGCCCTGCTGCATGGCAGGATTCGGACTGGTAACACTCGAGCTCTCCCACCCTGTTGATCCTTTCCCATTGATGTCGCTATTGGAATGCTGGTTTGGGGGCTTGCCCCACTCCCCATTGACACCGTTGCTGGCGCTGCGGTTGGGGTGGCCCCACGCTCCAGAATGCACACYGCCAACCCCGCCGCCGCCACCGCCCCTGCCCCACGCCAAGACCCCGGGGCCAGAGGGCGGCCCCGAATCCCACGCGTTYGCTCCGTTTCCTTCCTTTTGCACAGCGCTGCTGGATCCGTTTTGTTTAGCACTTAATGCTGAGTTCACAGTGTCTCCATTCCCCTGACTGAACCCAGAATTGCTGTTTCCTGTGGCAGGATTACCTGGGGACATCCCCCACACTGAACTGCCCATTCCTTCACCACTGCCCCCGCTGACTTGAGAAACCGCTGTTCCGTTAGCACCAGGAAGGCCTTGCAGGTGGGGCGGGATGATGGCCCCCATGCCCACGGCCATCCCCCAGTTCGGCAGTCCGTTTGTCTGCATTGCATTGATAGGGTTTGGTGAAGAGTTCATGGGGTTAGTGTTATTTGGTCCATCAGTGTTAAGGTTCTGAGGTTGTACGCTGAAAGACACATTCTGAGAAGTGGACGTTTGTGGTTCTGTGCTCTCTTGCGGCAGCAAGTTTCCCCAAGCACCTAAGGTGCCTGTTGGGTTCCCATTCTGGTTGCCCATGTTCTGACCTATGGCACTGACTGGACTGCAAATACTGGAAGGGTTGCCTGCTCCCACAGTTCCTTCATGTCCAAGTACAGGCCAGGCAGCTGGATTGGCATTAGGGTTAAGGTTAAGATTAATGCCAGCATTCGAGTTGGAAGCACCCCAGCAGTTCTGACTTCTACCGTCTCCCATCATGTTGTCCATCTTTCCATCCCCACCACTGGCAGAGCAGTGAGCTAGGCCAGAGCTGGAGCCCGCAGCCACCCCCCACACCCTGGCCGAGCTGCCGTTGCCGTTGGCTCCACCAGCTCCAAGGGCACTCTGGTTAGAAGTGCTTTGGACGAGTGCTCCGTTGGCGCCATTATTGCCATTATTTTTCTTTGTATGTCCAGTGAAGTTGCCTTGGGCACTCCCTGTAGCCATGCTACTGTTCTCTGAGCCACAGTTGGAGGCAGAGTCAGTGTCTGTAGTACATTCTGAGGCAGACTCAGTCTCAGCTCCGGTAATGGAAGGCCACGCTTCCTTRTCAGTCCTGTCTATTATCACTTTATCCCAGCTGCAGTTGCCTTCACTCCTGAAAGCGGGCTGCTGTCCCCAGTGGGAATTCTCATAATGGTCTCCCAATCCACTGTGGCTGAGATCTGAAAGGATCCAAGGTTAAAAATGAGTCCACTGTTCAAGCACTGCAAAAGCCCTCTATTAAGCACTGTTTTACATCACTAGTTACAACACTACAGTCTACTAAAATTTAGAGTACATTTTCTAACATAATACAGCAATTTTCCTCACTACAATGGAGMACGATGCTCATATTAATTTGCTTGRGTTTTTTTTTTTTAATCTGGCAAARCTCTCAATTAAAGTAACTAAACAATTTCATTTTAGAACAGAGCAAGAGTTTTGTAGCCCTCAGTGTACCAGCAAAAACAGTAAGCAGGCAATAAATAAGAAGAACAAATACACTAATCTATGTGAAAAGTCTAAAAAGCAAATTTGGAAAAACAGAAAAGAGTATCTARCAGACCTTTACCATTTATTTTGACTCAATTTCCATTCTTCMGAGAAAAACAAAGAAAATGTATCCAATAAAAAAAATAAAATGTCTGCCTGCCCTATTACATACACATCTACATCAMAACACACTAAATTCATCCTGCATTTAGGTTTTCAACATGTCCTGTAAATAAAGAAACAAATACAAACAACGTTTACTGTTAGGTGCCAATTATAAGCACGGGTAATGCGTATTTTAGCAGAGTACTTGGGCATCTGTAAATAACTGACAGTCAAGAAACTTACCTCTCACAGGCTTTACTTGTGGTTTAAGCATCATTTGGCATTTGTACACACAGTCCCCTGTGTTCCCAAACCAATGAAAAGTGATGCTRTGCCTTTTCAGCACCATCACATCCTCAAATACAGACAATAACCAAAAAAATGAATCAAAAGCTCTTGAGGATTGGCTTGCTTGTCAGGGTATAAAGTTAAACTGAAAGGCACAACACGTCTTATGTTAAGAACTCAAGCTTTGGTCAAGATTTTGCATTTACTTTCCATCCCAATTGCTCTGTACAAGATCATTTCTCTTAGTTTCTTTTGAAAGGAATTTGATAACAAGTATTTCAGTCTGATCCAAGAGATCTGTACAGCAGACAATCTGCAGAACAGTGCCTCTTAACTGCTTGCACACATCAAAGTAACAAATTTTGGATGTCAATTATTTTTACTTGCTGTAAATCTACTGAAACATGGCTTCTACTCTTTGTGATTTGTGAATAAAATGAATATTTTGTGGGGAAAATGGATGCAACAAATCTCTAAACAAGCTGTTAACAACGAATGCCTAATATGAATTAATTTAAAYCACAAATATTTTGGTGTGATTAGCTCCTCCAATTAGAGGTGTTCTGATACTACAAAAATTACTCCCAAATTAGAAAAACCTCGCTCTCTCTTCCACAAAGCCTTGTTCACACATTTCACCTGTAGCTTCTTAAGGTGATTATTTGGTTGCCTTATGAAGATCTTGCAAGATGAAGAAATAACATGCTAAACCAACCCAGACTGCCTTTTTTTAAATTTAAATTAACTGAAGCAGAAGAAAGAATTTTAGAGAAAGGAAGTGAAAACATTCTTAGTTCACCACCTGCCTTCTCATGATACCACTGGATACTTAGGAAAAGACCTCAATCACAGAAAGACCTAAATGAYCAGAGAAAACAGAATGGTTTGGGTTTAAAGGGACCTTAAAAATCATCTCATTCCACCCTCTGCTATGGGCAGGGACACCTTCCAGCATCCCAGGCTGCTCCAAGCCCCGTCCTGCCAGGCATTGGACACTTCCAGGGATCCAGGAGCAGCCACAGCTTCTCTGGGCACCCTGTGCCAGGGCTCCCCACCCTCACAGGGAAGAATTTCTTCCATACTAATTGACAAGTGCACGACAAATCTGAAAGAATGTGAATGGAACCAGACAGATTTACCTGGATTCTTTCCCCTACATGCAATGGCTGGAAAGGAGGAAAGCATCCTGTTATTCCTGGGTACAGCCAACAGGTACAGCACAGGGCTAAGGAAGCACGTTGAACATTTACCTGATGATCTACATTTGCTACACAGGTGTTAAATGGAGACCAGAATCGCAGATAAGATGCAGAAGGGGAAGGCAGGCTGTGAAATGACTTAAAAAGGGTCAGCAGGGTCAGAGAAATGAGCCGAGGAACATTCTTAGCACAGTAGGAATGAACAAAGGGAAAAAAGCAGCGGCAGGCCAGGCCAGAAGATAAGAAGTTGAGGCAACCAAGGAATCAGATAAGAGGAGTTATACGAGATTTTTTTCAACCCTGTGGGTGGTGTGGCTCAGGGCTGCATTTGAGCCTTGACAGAAGGATTTAAAAGTGGCTGGAAAGACATTGTTCCAATGAAAGGTCTTGTCAAAGCCGAACCCTCAGCTCCACATGTGGGTGCTGGGAGAGCGACGGCGCTGCCTGAGYAGAGCTGTGAAGGGCAGGCTTGGGAAGGAGAATCAAGGGATGACACAGGACGGCTCCAAACTCACAGAAATGGCACCACAGCTGAYGAGATGAAAGTGAGCTGCTTGTTTAATAATTTCCTTTCTCCTCTACCCCAAAGATGGTGGTTAAAGCAGCTCTTAAATTTGAGAGCATTTAGGAGACAGAAAATAAAGGGAAGGGATGGGTTGAAGGTGACAGAACAGCTTTATATGATTGCTGAGAGTAGGGAGCAAAACAATTGTTAAACAAGAGACCAGATTCTGAGAAGCAGCAAGAGAAACAAAAAGAAAACTGAATTATGAGTGAGAAGAACTATGAAACCCAAGAGATATCCATATTAAGTGTAGGAAATGGCCAAGATCCTGGGCTAGGTCAAGCACAGGGAGAATCCCCCCAGGAATTCGTGGCTGGGAAGCACCACAGGCACAGCTCCGACCCCGGGGCTTCCCATGGCCTCACAAATCCAGGTGCTCCCTTTCCTGTCCCATCAGCAAAACCACCCTCCCTGAGACAGAGACCATTCCCTCAACAATAACACAGACTAATCTGAAAGTGGTGACTTCGGTAGGGATTACAATAATTCCATGTAGGGAACATGAAATCAGCAATCCCCCTCTGGAGCAGCGGGTCCSTGTGCTGTGCCTTCCCTGCTCCAGAGGCAGCGGAATCTCACCGGTGTCTGCCACAAGTCATGGATTCAAAAAACAGAAAAAAAAACATGCAATAACCTCAGTGTCCAACACCCACTGGAACARCCAGTTATAACACTGAAGGCTGCTGCCATAAATCTTGTAAGAAACAGGACGGATGAAGAGAATTGAAAAAAAAAAAAATCACAGAATGAACAGAAACCTGCAAAAACTGGGATTTGGCTGTCAGACAAACTAAGAGTTTGAGTACAGATCCTGAAAAAAAGTTTAATATTCTTGTCTCTAAAAGCAAATAACAAAAAGGTATTTTTYCATTTTCTTTTACCTAAAAGGAGTTCACTCCTATGAATATATAATGAGTAGTACACACCTACTTAATCTGTAAAGACCTTAAACATTTGGGAAAAATAATGAAAGCAAAGTATTTTATATGATTACATCTAGAGAAATTTTCTTTTGCTTTGGGGATTTTTTTTTGAAAACACAGATTTCCTCGAACTTTCTAGGAAACCAACTCTCCACAGAAATTCCCGATATTTTCTTTTCAAAGTTGTTAAGATTGAAATAGGAAACCCATTAAAAAAACTCTTAAGATCAGCTCCTCTTTATTTAGGTAAAGATGTGAAATAATAGCACTGATTCCACCAGAAGCATTTCTTATCTCTCCTCTGTGAGCTGTGCAAAGACTGTAAACAAGGCATGAGGAACAGGAACCACAGGTACTCGGTGTTAGCAAATCCTAGTGCTGGGACACCACAAAGTGAAAACAATGTTTAAATTAATGCTTTGTGTTTCAAAATCTTAATTAGGCATCTTTTATAAAATAAAGTTCCCCGGATGAACAACATTTCTTCAGCCACCAGGAAGGAAATATTAATTTGAAGATAATGGATCAAATTTGTTTTTAACAAACACAGAACTTCTGTCCAACTGCAAGCATACGTATGACCTGAAAAATGCACAGCTCTGATCAGTATTACCAATAGCATGAGGGGGTTGTTTTGTTTTGGGTTGCTGGTTTTTTTTCATAAAAAATATCCTTAATGGGGTGGGAGGAGATTGCTGGTGGCATTACGTACTGTAGCCAACATACTCGACCAGCTTCAATTCAGTACTTATTAAAAACAGAAAAAATTTTGGCTGTGTGGGGTAATGAATAATTAGTTGCAAAATCAGTTTAGTGTTTACATAGATTACAAATGCAAAGTATGAGTAGAGTGAAATGGGAGAAGCTGTTGCACGCATTTCTTAGAAAAGCAGAATACTGTGCCTGCACAAGCAACTGACCCCAAACTTCCATCCTCCTTTGAAAATGGGGTTTACAATAATATTGGATTTTTTTAATCAACTGAGTTAAAAGCAATTGTACCTTCACAGCTTCCATTGCAGTAATTAGTTCAAATGCTGCGCAGTAAAATCCTGTCTCCCCAACTATASCACAACATGCAGCTGACTTTGGAACCAAAGTACAGAGAGGGTATGAAATGCCAAAACCGGGATAAACTTTTAATGGAACATTATTAATAAATTGTGATCACCCTGTTTTAAATCACATCTAACAGTGACTCCTCTCTTACTACTCGCTTTATTTTTCAGTCCATGTTCAGTAACAACAACCAGACCCCCTGGCTCGCCCTGTGCTGCCCAAAGGACAGATGACAGACGCTGCTTTCTGCTCTGACATGCAGAATACACAAAAATCCCAAGGGCCACTGACAGCCCCACTGGGCATTTTCGTTGGCATACAAAGGTTAGTGATCCTAAGTAGGAAGATGAGGGAAAAAATGGCAAATTATTTTCTCCCCCACCCCAAAATACAGTTTTCAATTCAACATGACCAAACCTTTAAAACACTGAATTTTTCAAAATCTAAATTAAACAGGAATCGTCAGAACATCTGAAGTACTAAATCGAATGTAGTCTCATTTCATAAAGAAAACATGACATAAGCACCTATTTTGAAGCACAAAATATAAT